TGACTCCAAGGAGCATTCCAGCTTTACCTTCTCCAGAACAAACTTGTTTGTTCTCCTAGCAGTCCATGGTATATTCAACACTCTTCTCCAGCACCATAGCTCAAAGGCATCCATTTTCTTTCTGTCATCCCCATTCACTGTCTAACTCTCTAATGCATAGCACGTAATTGCAAAGACTATAAGCCCGGATTGGGTGCACTTTAATCTCCAGCCTGACATCGTTCTCCTCAGTACTCTTGAGACGTCTCTCACAGCTTACTTTCCTAGTGCAATTCGTCTCTTGATTTACTGGCTGCTGTTACCAAAAGTGTTGACTGTGAAACCAAGTAAACTAAAACTGTTAACACTCGGGGAGCTCTGGTGGCCTAGTGGCAAGGAGCTGCAACTACAACCCCAGAGGCGAATGGTTCGAATCCACTAGGTGCTCTGCCGGGGAAGGAGGGACAATCTCCTCCTGTACCAGTCAGATCTGATTTGACGGTACACGCACACAAAAATAATGAAATAAAATAAAAACAAAAAAAAACCCAAAACTGTTTACTCTCTCAATCACTTCACCATCCATACTGATGCTTCTAATTGGCCCAATGGTGAGAATCTTTGTTTTCTTGATATTGAGCTTCAGTTTATATAGGAGGCTGCAGTCCTTGACCTTCTGCAGCAAGTGCTTCAGGTCCTCCTCAGTTTCAGCCAGCAGGTTTGTGTCATCTGCATAACGCAGGTTGTTGATGATTCTTCCACCAATCCTGATGACACATTCCTCCTCATGCAGCCCAGCATCTCAGATGATCTGTTCTGCATACAGATTGAAAAGGTATGGAAACAGAATACATCCCTGATGGACCCCTTTCTTGATTTTAAACCATATAGTGTCTCCTTGTTGTGTTCTGACAACTGCCTGTTGGTCCAAGTATAGGTTTCGCATTAGCACAATCAAATGTTCTGGGATTCCCATTCTTCTCATAGTCAGCCACAGCTTGTGGTGATCCACACAGTCAAAAGCTTTTGCATAGTCAATGAAGCACAGATAGACATTCTTCTGGTATTCTTTGCTTAACTTTAGCTATAATATCCCTAGTGTCATGACCTCTTCTAAATCTAGCCTGCATATCTGGCAGTTCTCTGTTGACATATTGCTCCAAAGTTTTTTGGATCATTTTCAGCAGAATTTTGCTTGCATGTGATTTGTAGATTACTATTTTGAATTCTGTTAATAATGCATTTAGTATATCCAGTCAGATGGTTTGGAGTTTTTTTAATTGTGTCATGTCCTTTTAATAAAAACAAACATTGTTAGCAAGTTATTTTTGGCTCATGACAACTCATGTATTACAGAGTAAAACAGCTCAATATGTGTGGAATAATTTTACTGGGTTTGAAGACTGAAGAGCTTGGTATCAGCTGGGGATAATTTGGGTCAATCAGTGTAACGTTTCTAAAGATAATATTCTACATGCTAGTCTGATGAGTAGCCTCTAGAGTCTTAAAAACTTGTGGGCAGCCATCTAAAATACAGCTTTTGGTGCCTGCTTCTCTGGAGTAATAGAGAATAGAGGAAATTTCAAGGAAGGACTTCTCACATAATCCAGGACTTCTAACCTGAGACTTGATAAGAATTAAATGGCACCCAGCTATTATACCAACTGTTCTGACTGGTGACACACTAGAAAGGCATGGCTAGAAAAAGAAGTGTAACAGAACTCAAATTCCTAATTAATAGAAGGCCAGATTTGCTGAACCAGTAGAGAATAGAGAAACTCACAAGACTGTTGCCCTAAAATACCTTTGACCTTGAGACTGAAACCACTCATAATAGTCAACTTTAATCCAAATAATTGGTTATATTATTTTTAAATATTCCCCTTAGATGCTTTGCAAAGTTTACAGAGAATCATACCTAGAAGGCTTATAGTTCACATCAGTATAGCTTTGATTTTCTCAAATAAATATTTGGACAGTGTATGTGTTTTCTTGTTGGCTTGCTTTTTGTTTGTTTGTGTTGTTGTTTGATGTTCTAGATAGCCACATTGAATATAAAAGAGATCCCTAAAAATTGATGTCATCATTAGTGAAGAATTCTTATTATCATGTTCTTAGTGTTTTAACTGTAATTAGATAGAACTTTAAAATTCTATTCTAATACTCTTATGCTTAAATGGTCAAATAAGGTATGTAAGAAAATATTTGGAAACAGTAACGTTCTCATTTTTTCTTTTCTCAGTGCTGGCAAGTTGAAACCAGTTTATAGCTAACTCTCCATTGGCTTTCCAAAAGCTGTAAATCACAGGGGATGAGATTGCCCATCTTTGTTTGAGTAGCCAACTGGTGAATTAAGCTGCCAGAGAGGCATGGGTTTTGGATTAACAGTACAACTCTCTATGTACTGTGCCACCAGAGAACCTTCAAAAGTACTAGCTACATGTAAAATGTTTTACTTGATTTTAACCAAGAGATCTAGCCTAAGAATGTTTCAGCAGAAAACTGTTACATAGGTTCCATGTGTACATTTAAATTTGGGCTGCAGATTATGGTTAGCTTATTTACCTCAGTAAACAGAAGCTTGTTTGCTTTAAAACCCCTCCCCAAACTTATTGCTAAGTGATCCTCAGTTAACATTCTTTATTTCATTCTCAAAAATGGCATAGTATGAGGAATTATACTGCTGAATTTGAAATGTTCTACTCCTGTTCAAGTTATAACTTCCACTTTTTGCCACTACATTCTTTTCTAGATGCCAGATGTGTACTGTAGAAAGATGATGTATAGACATGAATTGGGGTAAAGAACTTAAAAAGAAAGAAAAAATATCATTCCTTTCTTGGAGTGAAAAACATTGTTAGTGGTATGCCGTATTATCTATAGATGCTTATATCAGTGAATATTTTACAAATTTACGTCTTTTCATTTTAATATTAATTTCTTAATTGGTCTGTGTTATTTTGTTGTATTTATTATCAAATGGTCTTAAAATTTGCTAATTTACTATTCTGTTCTTCTAGTTCTCAACGTATGATTTCTTCCCATCTCCAAAATTAAAGTCCTCTCAAGCAATGCCAGTCAGTGATGATTTATGTTTTAGTAGGAAGAGAATATCAAGAAACTTATTTCAGAATAGCAGAGATTTTAACCCAGATTCTTTCCCTGTATGTGCAGGTAAGTAACAGTTGCAGGTAATAAATATTTTGATAAATTAAAAGAACTTCAAAATTCTTTCAGGAGCTCATGGAACTTGAAATCTAGTAGTCAACTGAAATTAAGTAAGTGTTTATCAGAGATTTGATAAGTATAAACACCTTGACATAGTTGTCTCATTAGACCTTGATTAGAACCCTTTCAGTAGCAATCTATTTTAATCTGCAATCAGCATTTATTGGGCATCTTCTGTGTGTCCATAAAAGGAAAAATTTTCTGCTAGTAAATCTTGTATTCTCATTGAGGTGAACAGACATTAAATAAGTGCAAGATAAATACTAAATTAAGGAGCCCTAGTGCCATAGTATGTTGTGTTGGAGTGCTATCCCAAAGGTTGATGGTTCAAGTCCAACAGTCACTCTGTGAGAGAAAGATAAGCAACTCTTCCCATAAAGAATTTACAATCTCAGAACTCCATTAGAGGGTCACTATGAGTTGGGATTAATTTAGCAGCAGTGGGGGTTTTTAGTAGGTTTATAATATTAACTTACATGATGATAAATGATATGGGAAAATAAAGCAAAGAAGAGGAATATGGAGGGAGTGTGGCTGTTTTCAATATTATCCTCAAAGAAGATCATATTTAGAGGGTTTTTTATGCTACTGATTAAAACAAGCATGGAAGCAGGAGTGGCATCCACTTCCGAAGTAGCTTGTCTCTGGAAACTCTATGAACTTGGAGAAATGATGAAAGCTATACAAGTGTTCAGGTCTTTCGTTTATAGGGTCTCTATGAGTCATCTATGATTTGATGGCACTTAACAACAACAACAACAACAACAACTGTAAAAGAAATATTATAAGTGAATGGCAGACATTTATTCTCTCACAGTTTAGGAAATCATAAGTTCAAATTCAGAAAACCAGCTCTAAGGGAAAGCTTTCTTTCTGTATTAGCTATGAAGGAAAGTCCTTCTCTCCTTTCAGCATTGTAGGACTGATATTGTTTGGAGATCTCCATGTGTCTTGACATCATTTTTCTCTTGAGTTAGGAGGTTCTCAGTATCGGCAGCCTAAGCCCAGGAATATGCTTCTGTCCTAACTCTTCTTTGTTGATGGCAATCAAGTCCCTCTACTCCTTGATTCTCTTTCCTTTTATCCCTTGTAATATAGAAAGTGATGCAGGGTATTTCTCAGGGAAACTTCTCTCACATTAGATTAGCCTGGGACTTAAGTAAGGGTGATGCATAAACCTTAAACCTCTTATAGCTGAATCACTGACTGTATCATAGGGATGATTACATCATTACATAACTTCCAATCCATTAAGAGTCAGGTCTCAGTCAGCTTAACATACCTTTTTGTAGACAGTCCATGACAGGAATTTTTATCAAATAAGAAAAAATGCCTCATAGATATCAGGAGAATAGAACAGATACTTCCAAGAAGATGAAACAGTGCAGATTTGCTGTAATAAAAATGTACCAGGCGTGTTTGAGAAAGATCAAAAAGACCAGTGTTTCTGGAATAATTAAAGAGAGAAGCAGAAAACAAAAGATAATGAACTCTCAAAACAACTATGAGATATCATCTCACCCCATTAAGAATAGCAAAATTTTAACAGAACATCAAGCAACAAATGCTGGAGAGGTTGTTGAGAAATTGGAACCCTTATTCACTGTTGGTGGAAGTGTAAAATGGTGCAACTACTGTGGAAGGCGGTATGGCACTTTCCCAAAAAGTTGCAAATAGAGATACCATTTGACCCAGCAATTCCACTACTGGGAATATACCTCAAAGAGACCATAACTGCCACCAGATATCTGCACACCCGTGTTTATTGCGGCTTTGTTCACAATAGCAAGGAGTTGGAAACAATCTTAAGTGCCCATCAACAAATGAATGGATAGAGAAGCTGTAGTATATTCACACGATGGACTACTACACTGCATTGAAAAACAAGGAACTCATGCAATATTACTCAAAATGGGTGACCCTGGAGGACATTATGCTGAGTGAAGTATCTCAGTCACAAAAGGACAAATACTGCATGGTGCCACTCTTGTAAAACAAGACTGACATCAGGGTTTGGGGGAGACTGAGAAAGGTGAGTTTAATAATGTATACTGCATTGCAGCAGATGAAGGAGAAAATTGTTTAAAAGGGATGTGATTATGTATTTTTGTCATGACAGGAGTCTAGAGCAAAGGCTGTGGAGTGGAGTGGACCTGTGGGGAGGGATTGTAAAACAATGAAAGAACTTTTCTTTTGCGTTTCCAAGAGGGTAGTGTTCTGGGGGGAGGGTAGGGAGGGAAGAAAAAATTTTAAAAAAATAAAAGGTAATAAACTCAAAACTCAGACTCATTGCTCTGGTGTTACAACTGACTCATTGGGTTTCTGAGGCTGTAAACTGCACAAGAGGAGATTGCTTACTTTTCTCCTGTGGAGCCACTAGTGGATTCAGATTACCATAGAGTTAGCAGAACAGCTCTCTGCAGTCTAGAGTCACTAGCGATCTCTAAAGAGACACTGTGCATAGTGTTAAATGAACTCTGGTGGTTGGGTTTTTTTGCCCTAAGTGAAGAAGTGGCGTATGTTCATATCAGGTATTAGGTTTAAATAGATTGAAATAGAGGGATAGTGAAAAGATGGAGACTATAAGAGTCTTTTGTTGTAATCCTGGCTAAAGTTGATACAGGCTTTGACCAAAATAGTGGTAAGTTTTGTCCTTGTTTTTAGGTTCCATAGAGTTAGCTCTGACTCATAGCAATTTTTTTTATTAAAAATATATTTATTATAAAACCTCAATTGCATACTTGTAAATAGTTTGAGTATACCAGGAAAATTACTTAACTTCTGGAGAATTCTGTTTGTCTCATCTGTAAAATGGGCATAATAATTTTTTAAAATTTTATTTCATTAATTTTAATGAACACTTACAGAGATTTTGGATTTCCATTTATTCATTGTTGCACTTTTTTCTCTACCTGCCCCAGCATTCTTTTTTTAATTTATTTTTACAATCTCCTGTGGTACTTAAGCCTATTATTGCAGCTTTTGTGTTAGTCTTTCTCATTGAAGATGTTCTTTTTTCATCAACCTTCTCTTTTACCAAACACATCCTTCATCAGAAGGGACTATCCCCTCCAAATAACATATCCGAAGTGTGGAAAATAAAGTTTCCCCGTCTTTGCTTCTAAAGAGCATACTGACAGTGCCCTTTCTTCCTGTACTAGTCATTTATCACTCATTCACTGCTATCAAGTGAGTTCTGATTCATACAGACCCTTCATTAGGTTTCTGAGGCTGTAAATCAGAATAGGAATAAGCTGCTTATCTTTATCCATTTGAACCCAGAGCATGGCCTGTTGGTTAGCAGCACAACACACAACATAACAAAGCTCCTTAGACATTGATATATAAGAAATTCATGGACTATATTTTTTTGCAGTAAAGTTTATTTGTTTTCATATAAAAATGAAATATTTTATAGTTTAACTTGTTTAATAGAGAAAAAATATAAAAAATCAATTTATAGTCACACTAATGTCTTAGATTTTATAAAGGTCATTTTATAGCTAAATATATTTTTAACAACTAGACAATAAGACAGGCAGCTAAAGCCTTAATGATGCATTGGATGGATAAGAGATAAATATACTCTGTGTTTTATATGGAATCACAAATAAAGGATTCAATCATAGTTCATATGAAATCAATCATAAGGATTAAAGTAGTTTACAAAAACTCCAGAAAGAAGATTGAGCTTGAGCTGGATTTTAAAATAGAAAGGGAAGATTTGTAATTAACAGTGAAGAATTGGCTTCTTCATGTTGTTGTTGTTATGTGCCGTCAAGTCGCTAAACCCTGCTCTGTCCTGTGCCAATCTCACTGCCTCTGACACATCCATCCCGATTACCCCAGTCACTGAATCAATCCACCTCATAGAGGGTCTTCCCCTCCTGCGCTGTCCCTCCGCTCTGCCCAGCATGATGTCCCTCTCCAAAAACCTGTCTCTCCTTACAACATGTCCAAAGTATGTCAGGCGAAGCCCCAGAATCCTAACCCTTTCTAGGATGAATCTATTTTCTTGGCAGTCCATGGTACATTCAGTACTCTTCTCCAGCACCACAGCTCAAAGGCGTCAATTCTCCTCCTATCCTCCCTAGTCATTGTCCAACTCTCTGATGCATAACAAGTGATTTCAAAAAAATTTTTGCTTGTTCATGCAGAGAGAAAATATAATGAAAAGCAGAAAAGTGAAAATTCGCTTACAAAATGTATAGTATGTAAAGGATAAAAGGTCTTATAGTCATAACGAGAGCATTTTAAAAAACAAACAAAACCACCAAACTATGAAATTTCAGAACTATGAAGAAACAGCCCATTTTAATGGGTGAATTAACTCCAGAGTAATAATTATCATCATCTTCAAACTCTCACACACCAGGAATAAACTTAAGTAAGCTATTAGAGACAAAAAGAAATCGGAGAAATGTGGAGAAATCTAGGAACTATATTAATGGTGCATGATAAATTAGGGAAAAAAGTGGAAGAGTTCTAAGCAGACTTATTTTGATCATCAAAAACAAGTGAGAAGGGAATATAATCATGTCTCAAAGTACTGAGAGGGAAAAAAAATAACTGGCATTCTAAAATTCCATTCCAACAAAATTGTTATTCTGTCAGAAAGGGTATGATTAAGGAAATCCTAAAGATTATAATATAGGCAAGATGTTTTAGCAAAAAGCCATATGTTTATAGGATAATCAGAAGAAAAGTTGAAAATATAAAAATAAAAAAAAAGAAGTTATCAGTGTTGAGGTATTTATTATAAAAGACTTCAAGAAAATTACTAGTCACCAGGGAAATATAATAACTTTTCTCTTAACATAGCCTCAGATGTGTATTAAACATTTAACAATTTTCAGGAAATATTGACAAACCTACAGTTATTTACATCTTTTCCCCTATTTTCTCCAAAAGGTCCTGTTGGGAGTCATCAGCCAAATCTTTCTGGAAAATGTGGACAACTTGGATTTTCACAGATATGCAATAAAACTGGAAGTTTGGATTCTGACTTACAGTTTCTTGGAACACCTAATAGTCATCAAGAAAAAGGTATAAATTCCAAATTTTTTTAAAGTACGAGGTTTTATATATATTGTGAAGCATCCAAATATAATTTGTACATAATTTTCTGTAATTCTACTCCTTACAAAAAGTGTATTAGGTGTATTTTAATGATATTTTTGTAATTGTTCCATAAAAGAATAGATTTTAGTCCAGAATGAAGGCTGCACAGTAGAGTGGACTTGGGGGTAGGGATTGTATAACAATAAAAAAAAATTTTCTTTCACTTTTCAAAGAGAAGAGCAAATTGAAGGGGAGGGGAGAGGGAGAAAACTACAACAATGAATGAATGGAAACCCTAAGTCTCTGTAAGCTCGCATTAAAATTAATAAAAAAAAAAAACTTAAAGGGTTCTTTCAAGCTTACCTTTAATGACGTTTATAGTCCTTGGTTTTTAGTCCTAGGTCCATGATCCACTTTTAGGTGGTTTTTGTGAATGGAGTGAGGTGTGGATATTGCTTGAGTTTTCTACAGATAGTTTTCCAATTTTGCCAGTACCTTTTGTTAAAAAGGCTATGATTTCCCCACTTGACTGATTTCATCTCCTTGTCAAAAATCAGTTGACCATAGGTAGATCTGCTGATTTCTGGGTTCTCAGTTCTATTCCGTTGATTTATGTGTCTGTCATTATACCAGTACCACGCTGTCTTGACCACCACTGCAGTGCAGTAGGATTTCAAATCAGAGAGTGAGATGCCTCCTACCTTGTTTCTCTTTTTAAGGAGTGCTTTGCTTATTCGGGGCCTCTTTCCATCCCAAATGAAATTGGAGATAGCCTTTTCCATCTCCTTCAAGAATGGAATTGGTATTTGTATTGGGATTGCATTAAATGTGTAAATTGCCTTTGGTAGTATTGTCATTTTCAAAATATTGAGTCTTCCTATCCATGAGTAAGGGATATTGTTACTCTTCTCCAGGTCTCTTTTTGTTTCTTGTAGTAATGTTTTGTAATTTTCTTTGAATAGGTTTTTTGTGCTTCTGATTAGTTTTACTCCCAAGTATTTAATCTTGTTATTAGCTATTGTGAAGGGTATTGTTTTTCTTAGTACCAGTTCTGCATTCTATTTGTCACTGTAGAAAAATCTAACTGTACCAGTACCAAAATCCAATTGATTTTTGTATGTTGATCTTGTATCCTGACACTTTGTTGAATTGGTCAACTCTGTCCAGTAGTTTTTGTGCTGAGTCTTTAGGTTTTCTAAGTATACTGTCATATTATCTTCATAGAGAGATTATTTTACCTCCTCTTTGCCAATTTGGATACCTCTCCAACAGGGTAAAAAATGAAGCCACAGACATGGAAAAGATATTTAGTAATCACATGTCTGACAAGGGACTTATATGTAGAATTTATAAAATACTCGAGCACAAACAAGATATACATAAATAACCAATTGAAAAATGGGCACAGGATATGAACAGACACTTCACCAAAGAAGGCATTCAGATGGCAAACAAACACATGAAGAAATGTTCAAAATCCCTAGCTCTAAGAGAGAGGCAAATCAAAACAATTGTGAGATACCTTCTCACCCCAGTAAGAATAGCAAAATTTAACAGAACAGCAACAACAAATGCTGTTGCAGTTGCGGAAAAACTAGAACGCTTATCCACTGTTGGTGGGAGTGTAAAATGGTGCAACCACTATGGAAGACTTTATGGCACTTTCTCAAAAAGTTGCAAATAGAAATACCATTTGACCCAGCAATTCCACTACTGGGAATATACCCTAAAGAAATCATAACTGCCACCCAAATACATACATTCACACCTATGTTTATTGCGGCTTTGTTCACAATAGTAAAGAGGTGGAAACAACCCAAGTGCCCATCAACAAATGAATGGATAGAGAAGCTCTGTTATATTCACACAATGGAATACTACACTGCTTTGAAAAACAAGGAACTCATGAAATATTACACAAAATGGATGACCCTGGAGGACATTATTCTGAGTGAAATATCTGTCACAAAAACCCAAATATGGCATAATGCCACTGTTATAAAAGAGGACTGACATAGGGGTTAGGGGAAGACTGAGAAAGGAGGGATAAATAATGTATACAGCATTGAAGCAGATGAGGGAGAAAACTGTTTAAAAGGGATATATGATTAGATATTATTGTTATGACAGGAATCCAAAACGAAGGTAGCATAGTGGAGTGGACTTGGGGGGGGTGGGTGGTTTGAATAACAATGAAAATTTTTTCTTTTACTTTTCAAAGAGAAAAGCTAATTGAATGGAGGGGTGGGCAGGAAGTAAAGTGCAACAATGAATGAATGGAAGTCCAAAGTCTTTGTAAACTTTCATTAAAATCAATTCATAATTTTTAAAAAAACCCACAACTGGAATAAATAATTGCAATGTCAAAAATTCATAAAAATATTATTTTGTAATCCTGATGCAAATATAACATTAAAATATAATTTTCAATACCAAGTTCATTAAAGGTAACATCCTTTAAGGAGTACTCTGTTAGCCAATAATTATTTTCATAGCAGTTTTTAATTTTTGGTGGTGGTGGTGGTGTTAGGTGCCCTCATGTTGTGTATGACTCATAGCAACCCGCAGAACAACAGATCTGAATGCTGTTCTATCCTTGCCATCTTCACACTTCCTGATACACAAGACTCCATTGCATAGTCACCCTGTCAATTCACCTAGTTGAGGATCTTCCTCTCCTTTTCTGACCCTCCAACCTTCCCAGCATCATGTCACTCTCCAACACATAACACCTCCTGGCAACATTCCAGCAACATGCCCAAAGTATGTGAGGTGAAGCCTCATCATTCTTTTCTCCAAAGAGCACTCCAGCTGTATGTTTTCCAATATATTTAAAATGTATTGTGTCCTTTATTAGGAACCATCATTTTCTGACTAGCTATCATTTCAAATCAAACATAGAGGATACAACGAAAGGAGGAGTTTGAGACTAGTTGTCAGTCACATGAATTTTCATTGCTATAGAATTATCAACTAAAATTTCGAGGTAGGATCAAATTAGGTATTTTAGAAGATAGCCAGCTGGCTAATAGACAGGAAAAGATCCATATTTTGCCCATCTCAGAGAAAGGTGTTACAGCAAAATACAGAAATTATCAAACAATATCATATACAAGTAAAATCTTGCTAAAGATGATTTTAAAATTACTAGATTACTGCACTGACAATAAACTGCCAGATATTTAAGCTATATTCAAAAAAAGGAATTTTTTTCCTTTTTATTTGTTCAGAGGCCTCGAACAAGAAACATGGAAACCACAGGATACCATGCAATCTAAAGGAAAGGTTCAGATAGTCTTCTGAACATTGACTACCAATTTGCTCCAATTTTTAACAAATGCTTTCTCCCATTTTAAGAAATAAAATATATATTTCTATATATAAACAGGAAAATTTTCCAGAACTTCCCCTCGGCTTCCCCTCCATGTGTCAGGAACTGAAATATCTAAATGATCTCTTACGGATTTTCTTTAATTTGATTGTGATGTGCAAATATATTGCTCTTTTTAGACCAATGTAGAATGTCATTTTACTTTTCTCACTCTGACTGTGTGTTGATTTTCTATTTGCATATTCCATTTTAGTTGTTGTATATCTCAATATTAAGAACTAGTGCACAGCAGAGATGTAGGCTTCTTAATGTATTGTCTGTTCGTGATGATTTTATATAATGACTGTATGTTGCTAGAGATGTATGACTATGTTGCTAGAGACGTACAGTTAATCGCAGTAATCCACACAATAAACTGTGATATTTAATACTTCAGTTACCTCTTTCACATATGAAGGAATGTTGTGTGGGAAAGACATTTTAGAGGTTAAAACTATGGTCAAAAGTATTAAATGTCAATTTATTTAGTCTGATTGGTCTTTTTCATTTGTAACTTTTAAAAGATTGATATAATAAGCCATAACATATATCTGTTATGTTTAAATAAGAAAAAAGCAAAGAGCAAAGTCTATCTTAAGAACAAAATAGGACTTATACCATGGAATCGCATTGTTGACATTATATGGCTGTAGCTTGAAAACAGACTATTATATGATTATTTGAGTTTTATTGACTAATCAAAGGTCTTCAAATTTGTGAATCATAACAAATTATTAATAACATTATAAAGAATGGAAATTCTAGAACACTTAATTATGTTCGTGTAGAATCTTCACACACACCAAGAAGCAATTACTGTATGGTTTAAGATAAGGAAAGATGTGTGTCAAAGTACCATACCAGTTCCGTCTATATGCCAAACAATTAATCCAAGATGCTGGATTATATGAAGGAAAATTTGGCATCAGGGTTAGAGGAAAGCTCGTTAACAACCTGTGATAGGCAGATGACACAACCTTACTTGCAGAAGGTGAAGAGAATACAGCACTTACTGATGAAGCTTAGACTATATATAGCCTTCGGTATGGACTTGAGAAAAGAAAATTCTCGTATAACTGGACCAATAAAGAATAATATGATAAATGGAAAAATTGAAGTTGTAAAGCATTTCAAAAAGTGCATTCAAGGGAGCTCTGGCGGCCTAGTGGCAAGACGCTGCACTGCAACCCAGAGGTATGCGGTTCAAATCCACCAGATGCTCTGCTGGAGAAGGAGGGGGCAATCTTCTCCTGTACCAGTTGGATCTAATTTGACCGTACACGTAAAAATAATACAATGAAAATTAAAAAAACAACAACGCAAAAAGTGCATTCAAATCACTTTCAAAAATTACTCTTAGTAAAGAATATATAGCAAAAACTAACTACCTTTGTTGGGGTGCCATTAAGTCACCTTCCATTTATACTCAGTGAACTTGAGACAGATCTCTGTCAGAGCTGACTTGACTCCTCATAATAAACAACAAAGTTACTTTCACTTTTGTTGTCTTTTTAAAAATTTTAGAGACAGATTTCTTTTATTGTTTGAATAGGCAAGAAATATCATTTGAAATTAGTAGATTTAGTTAGTATACAACAAACAACTCATTGCTGTG